TGTCTTCATTTTCAATTGCTGGTCATACCAAAACTCATTAATTCTTGGAATGTTTCTTTGGACATCGCTAATATCATGCGAATTTGTGCTGATGTGCCATTTCCGCAGATGAAACACTATAAGCACCATGCCTGTCGACATCTTCCAATAGCGAGTGGACTAAAAGCTACGTTTCTTTCTTCAACTTCTGATAACAGACAACGGGAGGAGGTCTATATCATCCGACGACTCCATTACAACTGACGACATGTCAAATATTGCGCGTTCGAATTACCACGAGGTTCCAATAATTTCCCAGAGATGTCGGGTGCTTATAAGCGAAAGTGAAAGTTCATGATCGGTTTATAGAGGGCACTGTCAACGCGCTATTTCTGTAGTTGTGAACACTTGTTCTTCAACGTCTTTTTTTTTTACCATGACACGTGGCTGTCTTTCACAAGTGTCAACCACCTTAATTAAAAAATAAAACGCACGATCAACGATGGCCAACTTTCAATACCTTTAGGCCACGTATTCGTGTAACTGGCTTGTTATTTAGCTCTATTCCCAGAACTCATTTTTTCCATACATTGGTGATTCATGAGGATTCCACTGTCCACAAAATGTAGATTCCACTGATGGTTTAATTGTTCATTGTGCATGTAAAGTTCAATAGTATAAGAACAGAATATTTATGCAAAGTTGTAACGGCAGTAAACTTACATTAATATTTGCCAATAAAAATTATTATATATGTTATTTATTGTACCTGAGTACATGTCCCCGATGTCCTTTTAATGAGGAACTTGCTCCCAGTTCTCAGGAATTGCAAGAGAATGTTTCTCAGACTATGAGGAACGTGTATACGTCATAAACATTTTGTGTAGTAACTGACAAATAAATTCGTGTTACATGTCTAACGTTTATTTGTGGTATAAATTTAAATCCGATTTGCTTTTAATACACAAACATTTAAAAATCGACTGACCACTTAGGTGTTACTGAATTTTGTTTCCTGCATCCGTTACGGTTTCCCAGATAATTGAAATATTGCGCCAATAACGTTGCAACCAGTGAGAGACTCGTAGGGGTGAAGCCGAATAGATGGAACAGCCGCGGAAGGTGATGTCAAAGCTCTTCTGGAACATGCGGAGAAGTATGTATTAATGCGCGCACAGTGAGACTTGTATGGCGTATTTAGACGAAGTTTTTCTGTGAAAAATTGTCCCAATGAGTGTGAATTTATGGCGCCGAGAGTGTTTGTGCTCTGCATTCTGTTTACAGTAGGATTACTGGCGGGGCGGAGTGTAGGTAAGTGCAATTGTGCAATTACGTTCCAGCTTGTAAACAACTGGAAGTGTGGCTCTGTATTAGTCTATATAAATTGCCATTCAATCCAATATGGCCGCGTAATGATAGCTGTCTTTCACGTATTTTTAAAATGATTTGGCGCTTAAGTATTGGAGTTGGATCATTATGTCAAGTGTAAAAATGTTAGGTCGTTAATGAAGAAATGGAATCTGTCAAGAACGAGTGGGCAGCTACATTTAGACCGGCTGTCAGTGTGAAAACATGGGTTAGGTAGAACATCTGAGGCAACAGCCTAAATATTATTTCTGTATGCGAAATACACGTGGCCGTGTTGTCAGCCTGCAGGTACTGTGGCACTTCAAGCAATGTTTTTTTCGACCAGTTTTAATTTAATTAGTGGACTTTTACTGGAAACTGTGTGGAATGTTGTATTGAGAAATCGGTGCTTTGCAGTCCTGCATGATTCGAATTAAGGCTTTTGGTTTGGAGTGTGACACCTGGAGTCAGAAGGGTTTTAGCACGTTGAATTAGAAGCTTGAAATTTTGTTTGTGTTGTTGATGTGGATTGCTGCAGATGAGGTTGATCGTACGTGAAGCCCAGTTTTTCATATAGTTGACAAATAACAATTTTTGAAAATACAGTTTCAAAATGTATAGTAAATATTGAAATCGATGATTTGTTAGATATTGCTTTTGAAGTTAACAATAATTCACTAGGAGTCATTCTTTGTACAGCTGGAACACATTTCTTCATACGCTTGTCAGTTTTTGTCATTGTAACGAATTTAATATAAGATTAAGCTCTCCTTCCGAGTGTACGAAAATAAGTCAGTGTAATAGTGTAGTGTGCGTGCGTGTTATTGTTGCTTTATTTCGATAAAAATTGTTTGTAGTGAACGGTATTAGTTGTAAATGTAGACACCTCAGTAGGCTTTTACTGAAAACTGAATTTACATTTTTCTTAATTGTTAATAATCGAGTACAGTATATTCTAGTGACGTGGCTTTTGGCAGCCGGAGTGTGTGAACTATTTTTAATTCAGGTCCACTGAGTGAACTCATAAAGAGATCATGATGTTATCTGGATACCCGGCTCATTTCTGATCGACCTTCATTTTCAAAACGCTGATTGTCGCAGTCGTCACCAGCCCTTAAATCTGGTATGTTTTGTAATCCATTGTAGTACAGCCTAACGACTCGCTATTTTCCAAGCTTCCTCAGAGGTTTTGACTTAAAATATGTCTCAGTATCCCAGGTACGTGATTCTTAGAGGCCATGAACTTTGTATAGCAGTGAACGAATGTGGTATAAATCTCCTTTGCTAATTAAGTGCTGATGAAGTCAAGTTGTGACCATTGTTGTCATTGTTTGAAGTTTTTCCATTTACCATTGTTACTCGGCTCGGCTCTCTTAACCCAAACGTCTTTAATGTTGAATGTTTGGCGATCGATTATAAGTACCCACCCATTTTAAGCGTGAAACCTGTCATTTAGTAGACCACGTGAGTAAGCTTTATTTAAGTACTAAGTCCTTCCATGCTGGAGAGTGAGTGATAATTTATTTCGTGACGTGTTGGTGTGTGAAACTGCGTATCGATTCACAAGGGGAGAGAGTTATTCGTTGCAACGGAAGGACTTGATGTGTTTTTTTGCGTGAAGTTTGGTTTACCAAATCACTTTCTTCACTTTTACATTAAAATATATTGGCATCGCCATATTTTTTCGACTTGCCCATTGTTGGTTCAGAATTTTCATCCCCTGTTAAGGGTGTATAATAAATACTTTCTTCGCAGCGGAAAACACAGGACCGTTATAATTTTCCCGTTATTGGAACCCCCCCGTGGCATTGGCAGAAGATGGGAGGAAACGGATTACGCCGAACGCTGTGGTTGGTTGATTGTTTACTTAGAAGTAAATCGAGACTTTGTCCGGAGTGAGATATATTCGCTCGTTCCAGCAACTGTAGGGACATGACGTCAGTCGAGGTGACGTTCATTGTTCGACGTCGTACAGTCTGAGCTGCTGACAGCATTGTTAAATAAACTGTAAAATGTCGATCAGAGACTGAACTTCTCCCCTTCTGTCGCCAGAAATGTTGGACTGCTGTGAAGTTTTCAGTTGTCCTGCGAACACAATCCATCGGATTTGGATTTCGGATTGTATTCAACTGAACGTGTTATCTTCTGCGCGGTTTATGCCCGTGTTTTAAACTGTGGATTAAATTTGGTTTGAATTTGTCTGTGGGAATTGAAACAAGTGGGCAACGTTGCAAAACTGGCCTCAAGTGGGGAGTAGGTTCAGGTGTGTCGTCGTCGGAACAGAATTTGCAGGTGGACGAAGGAATTGAAGTGGCGTTCAAGATTATTTGCGAGTGGAGAAGAATTGCAGGATCATGTAATAACAGTTCGCGTGCCTTTTTTTTTTTATGAAACCCCCGAGAGAGCAGGAATATATAAAATTTAGACGAGAGCTGACGTAATCGATTAGTTTGTGTTGTGTCTTGCCGCCAGAGGCGCTGCTGCAGCATCCTGTTGTTATGGTTACAACTGTAACGAGAGCCCATTACAAGGCCATCGGTGAGTAAAGTCGTGTGAGTTGATTACACGGTGCTTGGGCGTAGGGGTAACCGCGTAAAGTATGTAAGAAACTTATAATTTCGGCTTTCGAAATGAATGAAATGTAATTTGAGATGTCTCTGTTGTTTGTGTTGGTCCGCTGAGGGCGTGTCATGTTTGTTGGAGGTGTTTGGGCCGTCTCGCCCCAGAGGCGATCGGGCGTTCCTCTCTCTGGTCGTCTAAATTTCCTACATTTCTGCTGTGCAACATTTTCTGGCTTATTTTGAGGCATCTTTAAAGCACCGTGTGTATGATTAATGAACGTTCTCATTGCCCGGGTTCACGTTAAGTAAATTTCAGTCGCATAATGCATATAAAATATTAAATTAGAAAGTTAGTAAGGTAAGGCTATCCCACTATACGCCATGTAGGCGCTTGGGGGGGGGTAGTGGTTAAATTAATTATTAATTTTAGGTCTCAGACTCCGGCGCTCCTCTAGATGTTTATGGACGTCGTCGTTTGCATTAAAATTCGCTTAAATGCTCCAGGCGGTTTTACACATCGCTTAATCAAAGGGAGAGGTGTTCGACTGTCGTGGTTTTTAAAAGGCCCTACCTGCCCCTGTCGTCTCCTTTTTGATATTTTATAATTGTGTGACATGTATTGGGCGTTTTGTTTCGAATAATAATATATATACAGCTTACTTAAAATGACCACTGGGCAGACCAAGAATGAGATGGGAGGATAATATTAATATGGATCTTGGGGAGGTGGACTGTGAGGATGGCAAATGGATGGAGCTGGCTCAGGATCGTGTCCAGTGGCGGGCTTTGGTGTTGTCGGTGGTGCACCTGCGGGTTCTGATACCAGGAGTTAGTTAGTTAAAAATGTTCAGCTGTAATGAGGTCTAACATACCAGGAAAGAAAGTTTTGTTTTGTATGCAGTTTGTGGTTCCAGAAACTCCATCTTTCACAGTTTTAAGTGTAAATGATATTTTAGTCTTTTGAAGCCAAGTCTCACCTGAGTAACATTTAAGAATCCAGCGCGTACCGCGAAGAAAACGCAACTCTGTTAACACCAGAATCGTGGACGACCTATAAATTCAAAATGCAGAAAACCAGATTGTTAAAGAAAATGGTGCATGTGGTTCCCATTTACGATTTGAAGGGTTAAAATCGTTTCGATTTATTTTAAATGTTTATGGGAAGTGTTTTTAATTTCGGAAAAGTTTGGAAAGCAAAGAGGGGTTGTAATTGAAAGGGACACGTCAGTTTCTGGTCTGAGATGATCATGTTAATTTATTGGATGAAGACAAATTTTGTAAAGAAAAATAAATCAGCCCCATTAGACGTTAGACTGGAAGGTGCTTTAAACCAGTGGTATTCAACCTGGGGTACGCGAAGACATCTTAGGGGGTACGTGAAATTTAAAAAAAATATGTTATTTTATGATAAACACTGAATAATCAGAAATGTAATTTATTTAATTTATTTTAGATGTAGATTATATACTACGTATAACTTGAATTATACACCAACAATTTTGGGGGTACAAAGTTGAAGAGAAATTATATCTGGGGGTACGCGAACAAAAAAGGTTGAATACCACTGCTTTAGACGTATGCTCAGAGAAGAACTTTGTGAGCGAACTGCAGGGCAGAATCGTTGTATAAACCTGTGTTTCGCAACATTTTTATCACAACACCCCACAAAATGTCCTCTCACGAACAGGGGTACGAAAGTATACAGGGTGTCTCTTCACGAGATGTTATTAGGTTGTTCAAACGAAGGGGGATGAGATGGGCCGGGCAGGTAGCAGGCATTGGGATTTTGCGAAAGTGGCAATGAACTATCGAGTTTAATAAAGGGCGGGGTATTTGTTGATCAGCTGAGTGACTGTTAGCTTTTCAAGAAGGACTCCGCTGATTTAGCACACATATTTAAGAGCTGTTACTTTGCATTAAAACTCTAATATTGATATAATTTATTACAAAAGGCGATTTATTTTTACATAAAGCCCTTTCTTATACACTATTAAGAAATTACTCGCGTGTTTAGTATTTAGGAGGTCTCTTGTGTCAGATGTCTGCTCGGAGACAGGCAATAATGAGTGAAGTATTTCATCGCCCTGATGATGGAGGCAGTATGACCTCCGAAACGTTGACAAACATCGACCAGACTACACAGCGCAACAACCCAGA